TTTTCGTTAAGTGGAAATATATTCACACATGTTTATCAGGACAATTCTCTTTCGTTTTAAGCTTCATAAAAACAACACACAACCAAAAATTTCCTCCTATCGTCAAAATTATGCCTTTCAAGGAATCATTTGTGAAATCTACTGTAAACAATCTTATTCATACACCGCTGGGTACATATGTGTTGACCGAAAGACAAATAACAATTTCATTTCGTCCTAGTTTTCTTATTGATATTCCAATCTTCCCAAACCTCGTTTATTTACTTAAAATGGCAAAATTAATTTTTGAGTGTGCCAAATGGTTTCAACGGTCACTAAAATAAAATAACATCATTAACGCATACATTACATCTGCATGAATTAAAGGAATTTTAATTTAATTGTATTTAATGCTCACTGATACTCCTAAGATTATATATATATATATATATATATATATATATATATATATATATATATATATATATATATATATTATATATGTGTGTGCGTGCGTTTATCAGTGTCAGTGTCTCTGTGTGTCTATGTGTGCTTGTCGGATGGACAACAGCAGACAATAGAGACAAATTGAAAACTTTATAAACAACAGGGTTCTCTGGCTTCTTCAGGTTAAAATACAAGATAGATAAACTTGGATGTAAGGCAAAGTGCAGTGTGATCTCTGAGGATAAGTAGGGAACATGAATTAAATTATCTTCTCGGATATAAGAGAAACCCGGATATAAGAGACTTCGTCTCCTGTCCCGACAACTCTCTTATATCCGGGTTACCCTATATATATATATATATATATATATATATATGTGTGTGTGTGTGTGTGTGTGTGTGTGTGTGTGTGTGTGTGTGTGTGTGTGTGTGTGTGTGTGTGTGTGTGTGTGTGTACGTGTGTGTACATATATTTCTTCGGTTAGTTATTCTAAACATCTCTTGACAATGAAAATGTGCCCTAAATTTTGAGTGGAATTTTGAAATTACTCTTTAGGACTTCGAGCATTTTAATTTTCGTGTCGCTATGGAATCATATTTTTTTATAAAATACTTATAATTTAAGCTCTACTTCTGTATCGAGCATTTTTTAAATACTAACATAAATACTAAAGAAATTTGGATTATTAATCTGTTCTTTCCTATTACATCACTATACATACATATATATATATATATATATATATATATATATATATAGATATATATAGAGTCGATTATAGATAGATAGATAGATAGATAGATAGATAGATAGATAGATAATATTAGTGGTAAATATACACATACATATGCAAAATATATAAATATATATTTACGATATAATTATATATTTACGATTCCATTGGAATAAATTATGACCATGGAATATTAGTGTTTAAGCCTTTTTATTTATATATATATATATATATATATATATATATATATATATATATATATATATATATATATATTTAAAAATATGTTTAGTGGTACAAAATTTTATCACTGCTATAAACAGACAATAAATTAGTTTTATTATTACCACTCATGATAATAAAAAGTAAAATTGAAAAACAGGCTAGCTAACCGGTTTCAAACCTCGCTCAACAGAGCTAAATCGAAGTTAATAAAGTAAATCATTTAAAAAGAACAATAGACAAAGTGTATTGGGGAAACATATTTAGATGGTAATTAGTTTGAGGCCTAATACAAAGTACTTCTGTTTACATAGAGAAAGCTTTAATGATAGAATATAGATGGCCTCCAACACTTTTAGGTGGCAATTAGAGTGTGACCTGCTAAGGATGGTAAAAAGATATATATATATATATATATATATATATATATATATATATATATATGATGAAATAATGTTTTTGTAAGTATGTGCAGTGACGCCCAGATTTTTTTTTATTTTAATGTCAAACAATAATACAAAAATCCACTAAAAAGTTTTAACACTGGACAATATTATTGTCCCTCTTGCCTTCACAATCACTTACTCCTACGGACGATTATGAGTATGTCCCCATTCACATAAATACATTAGTAAATACTGTATGTTGGTCTGCAGTTAGAGATTCGTCTCCAGCTGTGCTAATCAAACTCTCTGCCTCCGGGCAGAGAGAATCCCCAGATGAGGCTATGTCGGAGGGCAATGTCTCCTCTCGGGAAACAGCTACCCGACCCCGTTTGATACAGCGTTACCTGGAAACTTTGGCTGAGGTTACGGGCTCGGATACCCCATATGAAATTCAGCCTTGTGCCACATCTGACCGCGTGGTGCTATCGGTAGATATCCAGCAATTGGAGATTCATTGTTGAATTCGCTTGACTCCTAGCAGTTGACTACTACTTCTACGCGCCACTGGCGAATCTTATATATGTTATTCGGGTCCTAAGTATTGTCGTTCATTACCAACCTTCGTGTGATTATTCTATTCAGTAAACACACCTAGGTTACAACAATCTCATCAATCATTTATTCACCTTCTATATTGAGTGGCTCATGAGCCTTTTGACAAAAATAGTTAACTGCTCTGTACAAAACAATATTAATGAATAATTATTTTAAATTATCTTTTCAGGATTTTAATGATTCTTTCAATTTTATATACTCAATGTATAAATTTTGAATCAAAATTTGGTTAGCTTTCCAAGCAATAAATCCAACCCACAAAATGAAAAATTAGCAAAAATCAAGGAGTTATTCACATTTCGTAAGTGCGGATAATATTCTAGGTACTTACAAGGAATTTTTTGCAATTTAAAAAAAAAATTAAAAATCTGTTTCTGGCTTGTTTATCCGGGTAAGCGCGAATGTAGACCTCCCACTTAGAAATAGTACACCCGATTCGCCCACATTGCGGTGACCGAAAAGGTCAGTACAACCGGAAGGCAATGTAGGGACTTGCTTTGAAAGAATTCGGTGTGAATTTTAGTAAACATAAATTCTTTTTTATTTTGAGGTGAATTAATATGTTGGCATGAATTAACAGAAGAGATCCGTTTATTTATGGGGGAGATCATTTCAAATATGTGGCTTCCCTCTGTCTTTTCTACAACTATTTTCAAGGCAAATGCTCTGACGAGCTACTTTCAATGGTTCCCAAACTGCAAGAATTTAAGCGTGCTTCTAATTTTATATCTCGGTCCCAACTTTTCACTGTCGAACGGTTAAATTTAGCCGTCTCTTCTACTTCAACAGCTTCTTATCTCGCACTTCCCGACAGTGGAAGACCCTTCCTCTTACTTACTTCCCTGATAGCGATAATCTTCAAATATTCAAGTGTAATGCCAATCTTCTGATGCCTTGATCCAGATCCCCATCCTTCTCCATATCGTTTCCTCAAACACCCCTACTTATTCCTGTTCTCAATTTCTGTAACCACTTGTGTGCAAGAGGCACTTGATTGGGAGTGGTATGCTTAAATAAATAAATAAATAATTTGTTACAAATATGTCGGAGGTTTTGTGCATCCATTTGATACGTAATGTTTCGGTTGTCATTCATTTTTTATTTTTCTAAAACGGAACAATAATATAAAGATCGTCGCTTGAAAGACTAATAATTTGAAAAGATGTTTACAATGCGCAAACATGTTTATTCTACAAATGTAATCTAGAACGAGAGGAACACCAAATCGGAACTATCACCATACCACCTTGACGGTGTGTACCATCCGCATTCACTACGTGTTGCTTCGAACAGCTTCTTTTCTAGTACTGTTAATATGTGTAACAGACACTCGTGAGGATGATTTTCTGATCACTACCATCCTGGGCTCTTCAAATCGAGAGTCAAGCGATATCTATCCTACACGTCCTTGTAATATGCAAGCCCCACTTCTTCCTTCCCTTACAGCAATCTCACTCAGTAGCCCTCTGTCTTGATTGGCACTTGTGTCTTGTTTTGGGTAAATAATTCTAAAAAGCAAAGAAAGTTTAATTAGTGCAAGAAAGAAGAAAAGGAAGAAGAAAAAGAACATTGAAGGAAGAAAGAAAGGTAAATTAAAACGAGTGTATAAAAAGTAAGGTAAGACTGTAAAGAAAGTTAGAAATTAAAAAAGAATCCAGAATAGAAATATTAAAAGGAAAACACACACACATATATATATATATATATATATATATATATATATATATATTATGAATAAAAATGACAATAGGAAAACTGGTAATTGCTGACGCGTTTCGTCCAATGTGGACTTTATCAAAGCAAAATACGAAAATGAAATTAAATGAACAACGTAACTAATAAAAACAAAACAGAATGTACCTAGCAACTGGAATGTAGAGAAACGCTATTTTCATATTTTTTAAATGAGAAATAACGTCAGAGATTGTCACGTGTGGAGAATATTGTCATTATATCTGTGTTGATGTATTCAACCATTTTCTTTCGATTTTATGAATCTGTTGTGCATGTTTGTTTGTAAGACCATTAATTTTGTTAAGAAAGGTGAAATAGGGAAAAAGCCTGGGCGTAAATTGATATTTGGATAATTTTCTATGGCGGCACTCTCCAAAATTTTCCTTCTGAGTGACAATCTCTGACATTATTTCTCATTTAAAAAATATGAAAATAACGTTTCTCTACATTCCAGTTGCTAGATACATTCTGTTTTTGTTTTTATTAGTTACGTTGTTCATTTAATTTCATTTTCGTATTTTGCTTTGATAAAGTCCACATTGGACGAAACGCGTCAGCAATTACCAGTTTTCCTATTGTCAGTTTTATTCATAATATTGTCTTCTCTACCGATTAAATCGGAGAAATTTTCATATATATATATATATATATATATATATATATATATATATATATATATATAAGAGTAAGATCATACAGAAATAGGAAAGATGAAGAGAAAAAGACAGAAGGAAAAAAAATTAATTAAATGGGAAAAGAAAGAGGCAAATAAATGAAAGAGCGAAAATCGAAACAAAAGCGAGGAAGAAAGACAGAATGAAAGAAGTTTCGAAGGAAATACAGTAGAAAAACGGGAAATAAAAGAGAGAGAAAAATTAAAGAATCAAGGGGATATTAAAAAAAAAAAATGAACGATAGGAAAGAAAGCCAAAGACAAATTAAAGAAAAAAAATGAAAAATGAAATAAAGATCGACAGTAAAAATAAATATTGTGAGAAGAAAGAAAGAAAGACTTTCGAATGAAACAAAAGAAAAACGGAAAAATATAAGCCTTGAAAGAGGTACAGAGAAAATTAGAATAAAGAATAATGAAATGTGATGAAAAAGGATATTGCTGTAAATGATTCCTCCTCCTCCTCCTCCTCCTCCTCCTCCTCTCTTCCTCCTCCTCTTCCCTCTCTTCCTCCTCCTCTTCCGCCTCTCTTCCTCCTCCTCTTCCGCATCTCTTCCTCCTCCTCTTCCTCCTTCTCTTCCTCCTTCCTCCTCTTCCTCCTCTCTTCCTCCTCCTCTTCCTCCTTCCTCCTCTTTATTATCATTAGACTCCGCTGTGGAGTTTAGAGCCTCACAGCGCTCTGGGTTCCTGCTGTTGTTTCTGTACAAAATACGTTTTCCTGATCTAGTGTTGTCAGCGCCATGTCCAAACGTTTCTGAACAGAAAGACTAGACGGGTTGCCAGTCAAGTCTAGAAAACCCAGTTTGCTTTGCCTTTTAATTCATAGCTGGCGGTGGAATGAGAACTGAGTTCAAGCATATCTTAAGAGTATTTTCGTGCGAAAGAATGCAAAGAACTCGAAATGTCCAGTTTCTACGCTAGGAGCCGCTACGCTACGCGCACATTACTTAGCGCTTTTATATAAGTCTGACAAAAGGCTAGATTGGTGGGAAAATCTGAAAGGAAAGTTGAGTTCGAATCGTCCAATGGTGAAGAGTTTGGAGACGTTAACAGTGGAAATTCTAGCTTTAAAATGAATAGGAACATCGTCTATTGAAAGATACTGATTTTTCATCTACAAAACAAAATCGAGAGAAGGTGTTGTATATTTAAAAGTAAAAAAAAGAAAAAAAGAAACGAAAAGAAAATCGAATCAAATATTTTAAAATTTTCTCTTATGTTTAATGCAGTCGCAAGAGGAAACTGACGTACAAAAATAAAAAATAAAAAAGTTTTAAGGACAGTTGAAAAAATTTTCAGGAAATTGGAAAAAAAAAGAAATCGGTCCGAATATATTTGAAATAGAAAATTAATAAGCAAGCGTCTCTCTAACATAATAAAATAGTAAAAAATAAACAGCGAAACAGCAACAACAACAACAACAACAATAATAATAATAATAATAATAATAACAGAAGGAAAATAATCAAGCCAAAATTTTTAAAAATGAAATCAATTTTCACACATGATAAAATAGATTGAAAGAAGCAGAACTGAAATATAACATTCTCAAAGATAAATATTGTTTCACTGTGAATCTAAATTTGTTTCTTTGAAATTCCATATTTGTCTTTACTGAATCTAAGATCGATATATATATATAAAAAATAAATTGCTTAAAAAGTATGGTCCATGTTCATTTTACTAAGCCTGAAGCCAAACAAAGATTTCATAACTCCACAAAGAGAGAACTTGCATATTTCAGAAATTTGCTATCTGAAAATCTTACACGTTTCATACACATCTGTTATTTAAAATTAAAATATCTGCTTTTTACTATTGATAACAGAATAAAATACCCATGAGCCGCTCAAGATAGAGGTTTAATGAATTATCTTGCCGCAGTTGCATAAAAGTAAGAATGCCATATTACGAAGATAACTAGCAAATAGGATAGATAATGGTTGGCCGTAGATTTGAAGTGGATAAAATCATAGTGATCGGAGGAGTAACAGTTGTGTGAAAGAATTTTAGTAGATCTTCTTCCTTACTAATGGAATACGAAGGAAATGAATATGAGTCAGCTCAGTGTAAGTGGCGTTCTTGGCTCTAGATTTGAAGGCATGGGTTTTGTCTCTTTCTCTCTCACATATATTTTTTTCTCTTTCCTCTAAACAATTCCTCTCACTCGTATTTTTTGCTTCTGAAAAAGGTAACAAGCAATCTTATATATTTAACCATTGAACAAAAATAATCAAAATCAAGAGAGAATCAATAGAATTAAAATGTTTACAATATCTCTAATTATTATTCTCTCACTCCCTACACAAAAACACACAGTCTCCATCTCTCTCTCCTTACGCACGCACACACACACACACACATACACATACACACACATATATATATATATATATATATATATATATATATATATATATATATATAGCAGAGCCTGGCAATTAATATATAATACATGACTTAAAGGATTACATTACTTTGTTATGTTCCAACTAGGAAGGAATACAATATTATTTGAAAAGTTTTCGCTAAACACAGTACTGCCACAATTTTATCTATGACATATCGCTAATATTATATATATATATATATATATATATATATATATATATATATATATATATATATATATATATATATATATATATATATATATATATATATATAAAAATATTTTTCAAAGGTTTTCGCTAAACTCAGTACTGCCACAATTTTATCTATGACATATCGCTAATATTACATATATATATATATATATATATATATATATATATATATATATACAGAGAGAGAGAGAGAGAGAGAGAGAGAGAGAGAGAGAGAAAGACCCTGGAATACAAAGCGATTTAGAAAGAAATGCGTATATTTGTACAGAAGCCTGCATTTTTTAAAAAGATCGCAGAAATATGTTTATTCATTCATTGCACACACGAACTGCATGTCTAATTCTCTCTCTCTCTCTCTCGCGCGCGCGCTCTCTCTGTCACTCCCTCTCTCTTTTTCTCGGTCTTCGTATTTGCTCTGCTGACGAATTCAAACCAAACAAATGCTGTTAGAATGATTTGATGCAGATCGAATGTTACCACCAATCATAGCAAACAATTCAGCGCTGACATGGACACAGCATGACAGCAATTAAATACGTATAAGCCCTCTCATCAATAAAACTTTGTCTTGGATTAGGAGAGACGCACGCAGAATTGCGACAAGAAGGGTAATGAGAAAGAAAAGGCAAATCGATTTCTAAGTGTATATATGTATATGGAATATGGGGTAAAAAAGAAGAAGAATTGTTTTGTACTGTGTAGCATATTATGAATTGACACAGGAAATGTTTTCATTTTTTTTATTTCGTTTCTTTTATTAGTGATATTGACCTTTCTAAAAAAGATGCCTACATTAGGGGGTAGAGACTAGAATTCACAATTGCTGATAGACTTTTTTTCGTAAATTTAATGGATCTTATCACAATAAGAGTGAAAAGCGGAAGGAGAAAAAAAAAGAGATAGGAGAAGAAATAGCGGAACGTTGATGAAAGAGAAAATGTGAAGAAAAAGAAAGGAAGAATGAAGTACAAGTAGAGAAAAAAGAAGAAGATAAAGTAGAAAGAAAACGAGAATAGAAAAAAAAGAAGAAAAAAAGAAAACTATGAAAGAAGAAGGCAAAAGAAAGAATAATAATATAAAGCAAAAGAAATATATTCTTCTGTTTGCCGTGTATATTCAGAAGGTGAGCGATCATGGCTCTTCACACCTTCTAATTCTAGTTTACCCTTAATATGATTTATCTTTTCATTATCACTCCCAATCTATGTTATTCTAACCATTTACACAAGCTCGTTATGTAGGTTACTCACGGATTTCCTGCCCCTCTCTCTTTCTCTCTCTCTCTCTTTCTTTCTTTCTTTTTCTCTCTCTCTCTCTCTCTCCTGACTTCCATATGTCATATTCTGCAAACCTTCTTTTCTCATTATGTATTTTATAAATTTCAACTTTCTTTCTATTTCTAAGCATAAGTATCCGTTTTGTTTCCATGTTCCCTAAAACTTCTTCGTTACTCACATGTTATGTCCATTGTATTCTTATCATCCTTCTGTAGATCCACATTTCTCTTGCCTCAAGCCTTTTCTTCTTCTGTGAGAAGGTCGGTCATTACCTATCCATTCAATAAAGATCTTCCTCATGGGTTGCAAGCAGCGAACTCGGCCACACTTTAAAACCCACTACTACTAAAACGGTATTTGTTTCTTCTCATTCTTCTTCTTCTATGTAACGTGTCCCTTCAGGACGTTGATAATCATGGCTCTCCACAATTTCCTGTATCTCTCTCACCTTCAATCCGTCCTGTTTTAAAACTCTAAATGGCAAAATTTAAACTTGAATAACGCGGGGTTGAATACCTTGTCCGTCAATACCATACTCTTCGCCATTTTGAGCTTGCTTCACAGTCTCGTCTACCCAATCTCGCTCACAAGCCTTGTGGGTAAAATTGGGTAGCCGAGACTCATCAGAAGACGACGATGGTTGTTGTACCAGTACAAAAGCATATATCCTTAAACGCTGGGCAGAAAGAAATAATTTAGTATTGAGTTACAACAACAACAACAACAATAATAATAATAATATGTGAAAACGGTTACACTATTATTAACATTTCCATTTTCAGCTAACCCTTCATAAGGCACAGCATCCTTAAGAATCAACTTTAATGAGGTTATCTATTCAATAAAGATCTTCGTCATAGTTTCTACATTTGGATTTTAAACAGGGAACTGGGTTATATTTTTGTTGAAACTTGACTAATGCATGAAATAATAATGCAACATAAAATGTACTTAGAACAAAATGTATTGAAACAAGAAAGAGTACACAATATTTACATATAGTCTTTTGTATATTCCTGGTAAGACCGTTACTGGAGAATGTGTTGACTGAGTCGCAGTCGGGCAGAGTCTCTGGTTGAATCTCTTGATTCCTCCCTCTCTTCTCGGTACCAAACATATTTATATGGTCGGTACTCCACTATGCAAATTAGGTGGATCCTACCACAACAATTTTAAATCCCCAAAACATTATTTCTTTCTTCCTATTCTCCATCTTCTACATGCCGTGACACATCAGGACTTTGGCAATCATATATGAAGAGTGGTAATATATAACTGTTTACTATTGTTTTCTTTGTTTCTCATGACATTTTCCTGTTCCATATTTTTTTGCTTAACTTTTTGTTATATAAGAATAAAGTGTCGCTACCGACATTGGATTTTGAACACAGATTTCAAGAGAACAAACACAGGAGATCCCATTTGAAATAAGTAGATCACCTGATGGTAAAAGGAATGTATATATGGGAATTAGCATGACGACTAATCGATCACTATTTCTACTCTATCCTCTAATACTATACGGAAGCTAGTTTCTATACTATTTCTATATTATTTCTCTATACAGCTCACTATAGTGATTACTATACGAATCACTATTCGGTGGTTAATATTCGAGCGATTATTATCAAGTAATATTAGTGCGAGTGTTATTCGAAGGCGTATGACACCAGTATTGTTCAACGGCGTTACTAGAGTTGTATCTGCAATTACAAAGCCTCTACTGTAACGATTATTACGAAAATGGCAACGAGTATTCGTTGAAATTACTAAAGTGGCAACGAGTATTTCGTTGACATCACAAAACTTTTGAAAAGCATCTTTTGCTATTCCACTGCACCTTCGCATTTTGGTGTCACATTTTACATCTTCTGTTAGATTAATTCCCAGACCTCATTACTAAAAGCAAATGTATTTATTGTCGCCGAAAGGTTTCCTACTATACGCGTAGTGCGTTCAAACATTTTCATAATTTTTATCAAGCATAGCATAATAAGCAACGAGATATAAATAGAGATTAAAATAGTTATCTTCAGTCGTTATACTGGCTGTTCCCAATTTCTCGTTCGTTTGCTTTTTACTCTACCCTCTTCTTTTTTAATTTATTTAATGGTATATTTATTGTGAGTTCAATCCTTGATTTATGTAGTAAATTATCAGAATCATTTGAAAAAGAACTAGCAGTAGAAGAGCAAGACATTTTTTATTGAAGTTCAATCAATAACAAGGCCTAAGAGCCACACAAGGTAGAGTGTTACTGTGGGGACTTATATCTGCGTAGTAAAGAATAAACATTAGGAGTACAGAAAGAACTGGAAACCCAATCCTAAACAAGAGTTAAACTTCTACTCCTGTTCAAATGACTGGGGAGACCTGTGAACCGGGCAATATGTGAACCTACTTAATTCTGTCTATGGAGGAGAAAAAAAGATAAAATGAAATAAATAGTAACTAACGTTTCACAGTTCATGTGGAGACTTTAGGAGTACAGAGCTCAAGCAGACTTTAGAAAGAACCGAATTCTAAACAGGAAACAAGGGATAAACCTCTACTTCTACCCCCAAATCGTGTGATATGCTAATCTATTGACTCTTATTTTTGGAGCGGATGGGATAACACGAGACATAGAGAACGGAATGAGAAAGATTTCTTACATATTCTGCGAATAAAGGCGTGGGAGACTAGGGAATTACTAATCTGTCTTTGATAGCTACCATGCTAGATAGATAGATAATGAATGGACGGTGATAGATATATATATATAAATAGACACAGATAGATAGATAGATAATGAAAGGACGGTGATAGATATACATGTATGAATATACTGTGATAGATAGATAGACAGACAGACATAAACGGACTGAGATAGATAGATTTTGAAGTCAATGATATTATCAGAAGGAAGTGGGAAATAAATACAGAAATAATGTGGTAAAATTTTAAATTGTGCGTCATGACCAAATATTTTATACCTTTCAGCCAAGATATAAAAAGTCTGTTTTAGAAATACTTCTTTCAAATTTGTGAGGAATAAATTTCAAGAAATGTTTTTTTTTTTTTTAAATAAAAGAAAGAAAAGAAAACTGCAAGTAGCGAAAAAAAAATTCAAATAATACTGAAGGCTTACAACAAAAATTATGGGCCAACAATCCCACTGACGAATTCACGGGGTCATTTTTTTTTGTGCAATAAGGTTCACCTTGTAAAAGGCTCGAGAGGCACTCAAGGTAGAAGATTACGTTAGTGGATAGGATTGAAGACTTGAACAGGTTAAGATTGTAGTGGTCGGAGAAACACCCTCATGGGAGTCGGTCCTACAGTGTTTCTTGGGAAGAAGCTGGTCGAGTGGAACTTATATCTCACCGATGGAATACGGAGAGAATGCAGGTGGTTTGCTACAATGTAAGTAGCATGGCGGGTTCGAATTTTGAAGGTTAAACCTTGCAGAACCGAGTGCATTCGATATAGGCAGTTATGCAGTAGCGATAGGCTCGCCACATCCGCCTATGAAGCAAAGTACATATGTTTTAAAATTAGGCAGTGGGCTACTTAAAAAGTGATGAATGAAAGAAGGTCTCAGGTCTCCGGCTGGTCGCGCAAATCTCGTATTTCGCCTCTGGTTATGTTATCATGACCACAGCATTTGAGAATGAACAAAATTAATCGATTCTAGTTTAAGCTGATTTTCAGTCTCGTTATAACACATCCGGAGATGCGCGTCGAGAGTCCCGCTCCGCTTGCGATTGACCCGCGTCTTTATATCGTGATTGACAAAGCTTTCTCTTTGGTTGGTTGAAATATGGATTTGTGGTCTGGCGATTCTGAATATATATCTGTTTTTAGGTATGGCGAAATTTTGGTTCATTTTTTTATCATTTGTATATTTTTCTATCACTACAATATCAATGGCATCTCTGATTGACGATTTGTTACAGATCTTTGGTGAACAAAGCTTGATGATACGTTTAACACATTATTATATAGCACATCTTAACCTTGAGCTCAGAATATTTGCTTATCTATTTCTCTTTTCGTTGCAATTTCTCCCATTCATACGTCTACTTTTTTTCTTTCGGTTTTGTATTTATTTTTTTAATTCGTATAAATTCATTTGTATATATAATGGCACCTCTCCTCGTTCGTGTTTCTTTCATTTTCAGTTGCCTAGGTCTTTGGTAACGACATCAAACAAAGGTTTAGGAAGAAAGACTACATTATTACTGGAAAGAGCGAGAACACTTGCAGGATTTGGGAAATATATCTTCCTGAAAAAAAAAAGATTTAATTGAAAGATTTTATAAAGTTTCAACCAGTTGTAACACTTGCTGCTTGGTCAACAAATGCCGAATGTTTCCTTTTCTGTCTATCTTCAGTATTAATTATAAGTCCGATCGGTTCCATATGGTCAAATTGGCAGCTGAGCTATAAAAATGACGTACAATCTATTGTTAACTGGGGCAAGGAATCGCTCGTTAAATTTAACGCCATCTTTTACTCGTCCGAGAGAACCATGTTTGCCTTCCATCACCAAGACTAATTCTAACATTCAAGAGAATGACTTCTTGCATCTTCTTGGGAGAACATTTTGCCGCTGACATGAACGATTAATTGAATCTATTGCTAGGTTTGCTGCTGAGAAAGTAAGTTCACTGTGTCGGTGTAGACAATTTTTCTCACCAGACTCTATCTTACATATTTATATATCTACCATTCGTCCATGCAATGAATGTTGCTGTCACATGTGACCTGGTGCTTCTGCTATATATTTAGAGATTTTTGATAAAACAAAGAAGCATCTGTATTGTTATTGGTGCTGACCTGGCATCTCGGCTTCAGTCATTTTTTCACCACCGTAACGTGCCATTTCTATAAATATTTACAGAGTAATTGTTCCGATGATTTTTCTTCTTTTTAATGTTTTTATTTTATTCCCCATCACCACAGACAAATTCCACATATGGGAATTAGTTAGAAGTACATAGAGACTGTGAGGTATTATGGTGGCTGCAATAAGAATGTTAGGGTCATTAATCGTGGCTAGCTAAGTTTAATATAAGACAGATTGAAGAGCAACTTTCCCCTCTATTTCCTTTTGGCCTTGTGCCACATTTTTACATTATATCAAAAGAAATATTTCTTTATTCTTTGCTGCCTAGATTTAATGAATTTAAGCGCAGCACTAGATTGGCGGTTAGGTCTAATCATTTTAATGTCGAAATGGCTAGATGTAACCGTAAGTTCTAGAATAACAGTTTCTTTTTTCGCACTTCTCGACTGTGGAACATTCTTTCGTCTTCGTGCTTTCTAGTTAACTTTGATCTTGATACTTAAACGCAATGTCATTGTTATCTTCTGCCTTCTTATTTCCTGTTTCTTTGTTGTTTTTTCTCTCTCTCACACACACACAATCAGTAACATTTTGCGTCTCAGTGGCTTTGTCGCCTTGTTTCTGGTAAAATGATTAAGAAAAAGATATAGGCAATATTATCATTACCATTAATTTTAACATTGTTCCTAATTGCAAAATCAGCAAAACCAAAAAATAGGCCACCTCAGTTAGCAAACTGAGTCTTGTCTTGTACAATGCAAGTTTTGCTTTTGCCTTCTGCGAGTTGTTGGTTGAATATAAGCGATCGGTTTTCGAAGAATTACATTTAACAAAGCTGGATTTTTTTTTTCAGGAACTCGATAGAAACAAACACCTAAATTAATTTTGCAAAAACTGTTTAGAACCGATGTTTAAGATATGGCATTGAACAGAGCAGAGGCGGTGTTGCATTTTGAAAACGATATCGAATCATGATTCAAATGGGAAAAAAATCACATCAATTTTAATATTTGTGAAAACTAATTGCCACATCTGCAGACACACGAAATCAAATGAGTCGTACTTGATGTGAAGTGGATAAGGGGAGATTAAATTAATTAAGTGTAATTAAAGTTATGTTCCCTAATAATATAACTGACGAAATGATAAGGTAACTGATTATTTGTAATATTATTGTAAAAATATTTCCGCCTTTCATTTTTTTTTTTTTGTTGGTCTGCAAACTTGTGTTTATACACCAGCAGTTAGATTCAAAGTATGGTAAAGAATCAAGATTAATTTTTTAATAAAATTATTCGATGTTAAAGCTGGAAACAAGACGATAAAACTAACAGAAATGCTTCATGCGTCATCAAATAAGGTAGTTATTAACGCTAATTTTATTAATAATAATAAAAACCTAACAAAAGTAAAGAAGAAATTGATTCAACAAAATGGGAGCAGAATTACAATAAAGGCATTAAAGATAAAGTAATGACATAATAATAATACTACCCGTAAAATTGCAAATGTTTATTCAACCGTCAAGGTTTACAACGGGGGTAACAGCTTTATGTTCATACATTTCTGAAGAGGATGTTTTAATCAATGCAATATTTTCAGCCAAGATTAAAATATAAAAATTGTCAAATAATTTATTCATGTGACTTCGAGTAGCATTGGCAAACACGTAGAAACACATTCACACACACATATACACTAAAAATGTTAATCACACTTACACGCACACTCACACACACACACACACACACACACACACACAATACTTACCTGAATTAAGAAGCAATATACATAGAAAACACTTTTCAAAATCTCCAATATCCTCATTATTCCATCAAAAATGCTAAGAGAAAGGCTTACAAAATATACCACAACAAATAAAGATAACATTATTAACAACAACAGCAATAAAAATAATCTCGATAAAAACATATATATATATATATATATATATATATATATATATAGCCAGAAATTTGGAAACGGTATATTGTACTGCTTGGCATTCGCACCAGAAGCCCCAAATACGAACATTTCAGAGTGTTTGTGTGTCAAACTCAGGACAGTGCAGAGAATTCGGAATGTGTCATATGATATATCCAGTCAACATCATGACGTTTGCTGTGATCACTAGTGATGGCGTCGATATGCCTCCTTTCATTTACCCACAGAGCCTAAGACTCAACACGGGGGCCTACATCAAGTGACTTGAGGAGGTAATGCTACCTTGGGTCAAGAACTTGGCTACTGGAAGAACCTATATCTGGCAACAATAGTCTGCACCATGAGGTACAAGGAGGAAAGCCCAGTCATATGGCTGTCAGACAATTTCCGCGACTACACCACTCCTTACATCTGGTCACCTAACTGTAAGCCGCTTGATTATTATGTGTGAGGCGAAACTCATTGTAACACCAAATATGAACTGAAAGCAAGGAATATGGCAGCATTCACGTACTGAAGCAGAAAAGATGGAAGAGATTTCGAAGTAGTATAGAGACCGTGCTTAAGGCCAATGTTGATTTTATTGAATAAATTTACTCTTTAATATTTCAAGATATTTTTGTGTAGTTTTGGTAAATATATCTGTTAAAATGATATGTCAGTTTTATTTTGATTTTTCTTTAATTTAGACGACAATTTATCAATCGCACCCTATATATGTTTGTGTCTAAATAACAATATATATATATATATATATATATATATATATATATATATATATATATATATATATATATATATATATATATATATATATATATATATATATATATATATATATATATATATACATGCATGCGCACGCCTCCACGTGGTGTAATAGTTAGCAAGCTTCTCTCCGCTAAGACAATTACAACTGAGTCGTGAGTTCGATATTCGCAGGTTGCCCCATACTTTCGGCCTTGTGCCCACATCTAAGCTACGCTTGAAACCACTACTATGTGTGTGTGCGTTTACACATAACTCAATTAGATTTGCATATATATATATATATATATATATATATATATATATATATATATATATATATATATATATATATATATATATATATAATATATATGTGTGTGTGTATGTATTTATGTATGCATGTATGTAAAATGTACATATGAAATTATAATATACACCATACAATCCAGTAGCAACCAAAATTAAAATATTATTTACATGAGGGAGTAATAACGAGATCCAAAGCCAATACATAACATTTCATACCAGGTTATCAATATCTGTGCAAATGATTCATTAGACTGAACCTGAGATACATCGTATGATAAATGACTGTGTTTGCTCGGTCTTAATCGCCAAAGGCAGTCGATCATGTTATCACATAAGAAAAACACCGTCAACAAAGCAAAAAGTAAACCTGTATCGACAGCAGCCAACATGATAACAGCCCGAGGAATCCAATTAATTAAGACTCGATTTTCTCCGTTAGAAATATGTCAGTTTTCTAAGATGTTTCTTTATTTCAAAGAGATTTTGAAAAGACAGTAAATAAGCAACGCGCTTCCATCACTGAAAATGGCGGACAAAGTACTCCTGGGAAGTGCAGCTTTCAATATTAACTAATCCGCTTACTTTGACAATTTAATGGTTAGAATAAACGGGTCATTACAATTGTGACATTTATGATTGTAAGCGAAGCGAAAACGTAGTTAATTTTTATGTTATATATATATATATATATATATATATATATATATATATATATTTGTCTTTGCCGAATAAACAACATTGACTCATACAGTGTTACCCATAAATACTTATGGTCTGACGAAATGCTTTTTATTATAGAAATTTGTCTTCTAAACTAAGCGTTATTTATTTCTATATTTCTGAGCCTTACAATATTTACATAGTTCGGACTGTTATCCTCATCTTTATTGCCATATTCGCGACGTTTCCAGAAAAGTGTAACTAGAAAAATCTACTCCGTTAGATGAAATAAAGGGCTTGGTTCAAAATTCCGACGTATATTACCTAAAGTAGACTGGAGCGTACAACGGCCGAAAATTTGTGAATAAAAAAGATGAAAATATAAGGACAACAGTCCGAACAATCTAAATAGTATATGAGTAATTTATAGTGAAAACATTTTAACAACTGAAAAGTATATAAGGCGGTAATTGTGATAAAACTAGACGGCATTGAATAAGTTGCGGTTCAAAAATGTGCTTAATCCGAAGAAAAATTGTAACTTCAAACTATAAATATTAAAAATATATCATCGATTGTTTTTCTAACTTAGGATTTACATAAAAGAAAATTAATGTTAATATCTCATACTTATAGCGTAATCTTCTATGTGACATGTCCTTTCAGGGTGTGGGCCATCATGGCTCTCCACGGCTTTCTGTCCTGGTTATATCTATTAATCGTTGCTTTGCCAAACATTTACACAACCTAGTTAGGTAGGTTCTGTCTTTTTTCTCGTCTTTCTGTCGCTCTTGTCTTCAATATAGCCTGTGAACATCTAAACACTTTCTTCAATATGTGCCCTAGAAATCGCAACTCAATTTTTCCGATGTTACGTATAAGTCTTCATTTTGTGTCTATTTTCTTTCAAACTTCATCAACCATACTGATAGAAATTAGAAAGTGTTATCTCAGACAATTAATAAAGAGTAGTTTCGTGTTATTAACTCAAAAGTTGTTATGAAACCGACCAGGAACAAAAAGTCTGTATAATAAAGTTACCTTGTCAGAAAGTGAACGTAAATGATAGTAACGCATATTGTTGTCGTGAAAATAATGATATTTTATATGACTAACTTAATAAAAAAAACTCAGTTTGATAATAATTCATCGTAGATTTTAAAGACTGACTCTACAGGATGACGAATAACGAGCTACAACGGACAACACATGTAACTCGAAGGGAAAATAATGATATAATCAGGATGATGAATCTCAGGTCCATGCTTCAGTCAATGGTGTTCTCAGCCACTTTCTGTAGTATATATCGTCATCGTTTTAAAGATATTCATCTTTATTTAAGTAATGGATCTACGTTAAGAATAACTCTCTCCCGATTTAAAGGAAGGCGTTATTTCATTTCATAAACGAAAGAACGGCAACAAAGATCGAAGCAATACTGAAATTGAGCGTAAATGTTCAAGATTAATCATATAAAAAAAACAGTGGTTGCGCCACACGTACTGTTGACATCCTCCAAAATTATCTGTCGCGCTACTACGATGAATTATTATCAAACTGAGCTTTTTATTAAGTTAATCAGATAAAATTTCAGCCTAACGTTTTCGGCTGTCATGAGGGTGGAAACATAATAATGAATCAATTGCTAGGACTGATGCCGGTAAATTTGGTTCCCTGCGTCGTGCTGTAGACAGTTTTTCTCACCCCAATTTACCTTACATATTTATTAATCTACTATTAATTCATTCTTTGAACATTGCTGCCGCATATGGTCTTGTGCACATGCTCTATATTTAGAGATCCTTGATAAATTCCAAAAAAGAATTTGCATTGATACTGTTCGATAAAGTACGCCACAAAGATGTTAGAACTGCTCAGCAACTTTGACATATTTGAGAAGGATATTTGAATAATCAAGAACGTATAATGGCAGCAAACTCTCTGCATTCGGATAGAAAACGAGTTAAACAGGTATACAAAAAATAGAAAGGCGTGTAAGACAAGGATGTGTCTTCTCACCGGACCTATTTAACCTATACAACGAGGTGATTCTGTGAGAACAAGAAGTCCTACATGGATTCATTATTGGCGGCCACAAGCGTAACAGTATAAGGTATGCAGACGACAAACTATTAATAGCAGACACAGAAAGAAAGCTACAAAAATTCCTACAGAGGTTCATAAAAGAAAGCGAGAAGAAATGATTAAACATCAACTGCAAGAAGACAAATGAATGGTTGTTAGCAAAATGATGAGCCCAAAGTGCGAATTGCAAAAAAAAAAACAAAATGAAAGAAGAGATGAAATTCAAATATCTGGAAATAGGATGGAAACTTTGAAATCCGAAGGCGGATTGAGAAAGCCAAAGAAGCATTCCAAATGCTAAGATTGCTAAGAAATGGAAAAACTTCGCAAGTAAAAGAGTAATAAACTCTTACGTAACATTTGTCCTCCTGTATGGCAGTGAGTGCTGGACAATCTTCTCACAGAGGAAGAAGAGATTTGACACAACAGAAAAAAATGGTTCTTCATGCAAAGGATACGATGAACAGAAAGTGAGCAACGACAAAATTTTAGAGAAAAAGGAAACTAATAAGAAACTTATGCTTAACATCAGAAGGAAACAGTTGAGGTTTCTGGGGCACATAATGAGGAAGGAGGGCTTGGAAAATTTAGTACTCACAGGACAGATTGAGGGCAAGAGAGTCAGAGGAGAACAACGTATGGCGTACATAATAAGCTTGAGTAAAGAGGTGGCGGAACAGGAGAAATATAAAGAAAGACTAAGTTTATTAAATGTTACAAGTGACAGAATGTTTTGGAGAGCCATAATCGCCTATGGCATGAAGAAACACGGCAAATAAAGACGAAAACCATGCTGATGACAGATAAGGGTTTTCGAATTCGCTTAGCGGTATCTAGTTAAACACGTGTTTATGGTAACAACAATAGCAAGAATCGTCATCTCTAGAGGCATAATAATACTAAGATGAGAAAATTATTACTCTGTAGACAGATTTTTTCAGATATAATGTGTAATATAATAATTATTATATTGGAATAAAGTGCCTTTGCCGATACTGGAGTTTAAGTAAAGATCACCGGAGAGCAAATACAGGCGATCCCATTTTATAAGTAGATCACGTGATGGTAAATGAAATCTATATATGGGAATTAGCGTAGAGTCTAATTGAGCACTATCCGAATTATTTCGGATGTGTGCTTTTCAAACTTTTTGCCTCCGGGCAGAGTGGGACACAGACAAGGCCGAAAGGGAGAGTCTCGTCTGGGGTGTTAGCCGATCCAGTTTTTACGGGGTCTATGGGGAATTTTTGCCTGACCCTACGGGCTCGGATACACCACAATAAGTTTGGCCTTGTGACCCATCCGGACGCTTGGGGCGCTTAGTGAATATCTCACTATCCGGATTACTTCGGAGGTGTTTTGGTCAAACTCTGCCTCTGGGCAGAGAGGATCCCCAAACAAGGCAATATCGAAGGACTGAGTCTTGACTTGGGAGACAGCTACTCGACCCCATTTTTACGGCGTCGACAGAGAATTTTTGACCGAGCCTACTGGCTCGCATACCCCACAATAAACTCGATCTTTGCCACATCCGTCTGCGTTGCGCGGTTAATGAATATCTCACTGTACGGATTACTAATCGGATTATTATTCGGTGGTTACTTTTTCGAGCGAGTATTATCGGACAAGTATTATTAGCGCGAGTGCTATTCGAAGGCGCCTGACACCAGTATTGTTCAACGACGTTAATATAGTTGTATCTGCGATTATAAAGTCTCTACTACAACGAGCATTACAAAAGTGACAACGAATATTCGTTGACATCACGAAATTGACAACGGATATTCGATGACATCACAATAATAATAATAATATTTTTTTTTACAAAAATGTTTAGTGGACTATAACTTGAAGACATTTCTGATCTTAGGACTCTCGTTGGAACCCGGAAAGAAATGTGTATACAACAGAAATCAAAGGATATAATAATGTGAGATTTTGAGTCGGGCAGGAAAAATTGTTTCGAAGACAGACACACAGCAAAGCAGGTAGCTATAGATATAATAATAATAATAATAATAATACTTTTAAATATGCTGATAAAAGAAGCCATGTCTCGAAGTTAGATGAAGAAGCTGTACAAAGGGGAGGGAAGTCATAATTATATTGATAAGGATGGCTTCAAGGATGATTCTTATTCAAATTCTAATAACGTCGATAAAGAAAGAAAGGTTTGCTTGTAAATTAGATTTGTAATGCATAAGATTTCGCCGATTTCTGCCGAACAGAATCTGACACGCCTATTTGCTGATGTCGATGACAATGAAGATTATTAAAAAGAGTTGGTGGTGATGGAGAAGAGGTAATTAATATAAATTCTCATCATGATTAATTACACTGTTGCTAATGATGATTTTAATAGTGATAATGCCTGAGTTGTTATTAATAATATTTCATGAAATCATTTCATTCCTATCAGTAATGTTTGCGTAAATTCCTGACCCCGTGCAATCTATTTCTTCCTGATTTGCAGTTCATTTCTACAATAATAACGTTAGCAATGCAATTCTATAGTAAGCGATATTTACTTTAATTTAAAATAGTAAAATCATAAGCAATGTATTTTTTATCGATTTACCCCAAGCAAGGCGATAAAGTCACTCAGACACAAGGGGATACTGGGTATGGAAGAATTAGAAAACAGAAACATTACTAAGGAGCGAGAATAAATAGAATAGTCATCAGGAAGACAATATATATCGATTGAAATTTCATTTAAAATTTTGCAGATTAAATTTGGGTGGAATGCATGGAGCCGGAAGGGATTTCCACAAGCGATAGGTGCGAGAAAAGTAACTGTTAGCATAGAACTTATGGTTGCGTTTAACCAACTCAACAGTAAATTGTTAATACCTCGTCTCCAGTCTCGTACTGCACTTAAATTTATAAAATCTAGGTAACATATCGAAGTTTTCATACAAGCAATCACCAAGAAAATATTAATAGAAAATTCACAGAGAGGCAACTTTACGGCGATGTGAAAATGGCTGAACCCGAGACGCGAGGTCAGGAACAATAATATTGTTGATTCTTTTTCGGATTTTATAAAGAATCTATAAATATATAGCATGAGCCCCGGAACATATGTGGTAGCAATACTCAGTGACTGTTTCTCTAATGGCGCGAAAATAAAACTGTGATTATTGTTGCGTTCTCTTCTGCCGAAAATGCCGCCATTGTATCTGAAACGATGAGAATGAATATTTCGAAGTATTTGTCTATTAACTCCTGTCAGTGAATCCACAGATTATGGTGAAATTGTAATAGTGAAAAGAGTCGTTTCCATGCAGTAAACATTATTGACCAAACAGTTAGCGTTAAGAACAATAAAATACCGAGTAAACCCGGGATTAAAAACTGCATTCATCTACCCAAGTGAATATTATCAATCTTTACGTTTCCCGGGAAGAGATTGTGATGAACACAAAGCTAATAATAATAATAATAATAATAATATGTGGAAAATTCCTTTCGACTCAAACGGTAAATCAGAAACTAGTCCTGTACAGTAAGTGTTGCGAAACACTGCCTAGTTTCGCAACCCAAATTTTAGTCAAGGATCAATTAATAATGAAAGAAAAAGAGGGCACGCAGAACTTCTCGGTTCCCTTACACACAAAAAAAAAAGATGAGAAGAAAGAGAAGGCAAGCCTTAAGTAACAAGTTTGGCCGACCTGTGCATCCCACATCTTCCAGTAAAAAGATTACAAAAACCAGTGCTCGAAGCGGACTCGCTTTGAAAAACAAGCCATGGCAAACACCCCATCTTCCACGTCTGACCGCAACCAAAGACACACAGGTAATTTGACTTACTTTTCCACACATAATAATAATAATAAATTGTGTGAAACTGCTCATTTCCTCAGGTGTTTATTGTGAAATTAAAGGAAATATAAACACTGAGATATTCAGTATTACATAAAATCAGAATGCATAATTTATTAATTTGACTTACCTGATGTTTCGAGCGATGACTCAATAAGGGAATTTCC